TTATTTAATTCAATTCTTCTAAGTTTTAATCTGTCAAAAAAATACGATTTATCTCGATCAGAAGCACAATAATGTTTCAATTTTTTTTTTTTTTGCACTTACCCACTTTAGTATCCCTATTTATTTACACATTTCACAATTCCATATAAGTTATTTAATTCAATTCTTCTAAGTTTTAATCTGTCAAAAAAATACGATTTATCTCGATCAGAAGCACAATAATGTTTAATATTAATATTGTTACTTTTTTAGCCTTAGTAAAACTATTTTTAATTGATAATATCAAAAGAGAACACTGCTTTTAATCTTATTTTGTAAACTATCCTAATTTTTATGTTCTTACTTAATTAGTATTTCTATTATTTATTTATTTTAACCACAAAATTCTATTCCATATAAGTTAGTCCCTGATTTGTCGGATAAATTTACTATAACAAACACAAATATTCAGTTCAAAAATTCAACTTTATCTTGCTCGCACTGACAATATTGTTTAATATTATTGTTTTCTTTCAACTATGTAGTACACAATAGATTGCTTAATATCATAAATCGTTAATAAATAAAACTCTTTTATCATATTATTTTAATACAAACAAGTTTCGCTTAAATTAGCACGCCATCGCTCCTTATTCTAATAAAATAAATTTTTTTTTTACTTAATCATACGATTTATAAATTCATTTCGCGCCATTGAAAAAATTACTTCTTTTTTTGTATTCTTAAATCGTGCTGGTATCAGATGTCATCTTAAACTTTTCATTGATTGTATAACAATGAAAATATTATTACTCTCTATATCTGCAAATCTAATATAATATTAAATAAATTAGTAATATCCTAATTCGATATTGAACTTATTTATATTTATATTAAACCACTTTATTATTTTCCTTATCTTCATGTATCTTGTATTGTGTACAATTCATCCATTACTTCTTAAATAATAAATAATAATTAATTTAGATAACGTTTGATCTATATTAAATAAGTTATAAAAAGCTTCGATTTAAGTAAATTTTCATTATAATCATTCGTGTCTTTCTTATGTCGTCCTTATTCATAGCCTTTTGTCTTGCTAAAAGTGTTACTGGAAATGATAAATATATTTCCGGAACCGCTGTATATCGAATAAACAATAATATGAATGAATTCAGAGAAATTATATTCAAAGGTTTCACTACTAACCCTGATTCATTAGTTACACCGTTCGAAAAAAATTCTATTACCTTAATGATCGGTCACTATGTTTATGAAGAAAACTTAGAATATGTATGCATTTGTTATTATATTTCACTAGCAAAAATATCACATCTCATTTAATTATCTTTTTTAGATAACTTTAATTCAAGCTGTTCCTATCTCTTATTCTGATGACGATTATGTTCTTACCCCAGACGACTTGCCAAGCTCATCTCCTTTATTAATTTATTTAGCTCCCGTGGTACCAAATTCTTACATTCCTGATAATAAAGGAGGACGAGAAAGCTTTATGTTAGCAAGACGTTTATACAATGGAGTCACTAACAACAAACATGTTGACTCGAAAATTATTGTATCATATACTAACAAAAACAATCGATACAATGCTATGAAAAATAATTTAAAAAAAACAGTCTTATCTGTTATAGGCAGGTTAAAACTTGGCCATAAAAAACTTCCACATCTTCTCGCTGCTGATATTGAATGGACCTACGTAACCAATGATTCTCAGCCTTCTACTACTTCTTCATCTAGAAAAGTATCTCCTCAAGAACTTGATGGCCAACTTGACAGTATCGAGGAAAAATATGCCACTTTAACATCTCCATTCCCTCAAAAAAGACAACGATTTAATTTGCTAAATCCTTCAACCAGTAACACTTCGAATAACCAAGCTCATTCTTTAAATTTTGCAGAAGCCGTCACGCAAATCCAAAAAAGTCCACCTTCTATTACTACCACCGAACCTCTTACCTCACAATTCAATAACCCTGACCTTAATCCCCAGGAAGCCCATGAAGACTCTCCTCCTCTTAACACTCACACCAACCAACCCACTACGTTTGTTAATCCAGACCACCCCACAATTCACACTTCTCATGCATCTCCGGCTCAAGATACAATTCCTGATCCCAAAAAACATCAATTAAGAACTCTTCGCCCTGCAAAAAAATAAAATTTTATATGTCAATCATGCTTCTACATTTTTTCCCTTAGCTTTACAAAAACAAAAAAAAAAAAAAACAATAATATTACCTTATTCGCTCACAAATTTTGTTTCTACTGTTGTTTCTTATTTTGCTATACTATACTTCTTTTTTTTTACTATTTTTTTCAACTAAATTTTCAATTATATCTAGTCTGCATATAAATTTTATTATATTTAGTACATATCAATATTAAAATTTTTGTAATTTTCTCCAAATTAATAATAAACAACATTTTTTAAACCCGTACTGTGTGATAGATAAACTTTCAACTTTTAATATAAAACATGCTAACTCATATGCTCTTTTACATTGTTAGTACTAACATACTGTATAAATAATAAAACACAACATAAAAAGCCCGTTATTTAATTACCAATTCTATATTTCAAATAACGTATAAACTTATTAGCAAACGTTAGCAGATAACCAACATTTGATATATCGTCTTAGCCTAATTCTACGTAAAAATATCATCCATCCCTTACATATCATACACAGAATTAAACTTACGCCAAAAATAAAAATTTCCTTCTTCCATTTTTTATATATACTATTAAACAATAAAAACTTATAATATTAATTTCGTATAAAATATAAAACCGCCACACTAATATATTTACCTTACCTCATATTAAAAACCACCATAAACTACTTATAAATTCCAAAACCTCTCTATATTTATACATCAACATTTAAAAAAATTATATCTTATCTAGATAATATCTTGTAAAATAAAGTACAAATTATAACTTTATTACCCAGTAATATATATAAAATATTGTTTAATTAAAATATAACTTTTAGCCAATGCAAATTCAACTCATTTTGTTCTAAATTAAATCCCCATTTTAAAATTGTACTGCTTACTAAAAAAAATCAAATAAAAATTTATTTAAATAAATATAAATTATTTGTATATATAATCTCTTGAATTTTTCTAAACTCTTCACCAACACTTGTAACAAAAAAAAAAACATGCCTAATTACACTGTTCAAACTTTTCGTCTTACCTCCTTTACCGAAATCTTGACCCAAAATAACAATTCTAACATTTCATCTAATGACCATATCTTTGAACCTTACACTTCCTGAAATGAAATAAATCAAACTTTATCTAATGCTCCAACTAATTCTACCACTTTTATCTTACCTCCTCCATTGTCCCATAATATTAATCAGTCTTACCAACATTTAACACAAACCCTTCAACACCTTATACACAAATTTCAAACTGAAATATTACTCTATTATCCAAATATTCCTTGTGCTTATTGCTCTATCCTTATGACAAACTCGTCCGCCCAATGGATTTCTTATGACGAAACAACTTCATATACAATAACACAAGTTTTTTCACTACCAGTCCGTACTAGAAGAAATAATAAAAATATTATGCAAGTTGCTGTATGTAATGGTTGCAAAAATCAAAAAACATGTCGTCACCCTCCAATATTAGCTCCTATTCCTTCTCAAATTGAAAATGTCCCTATGATGCACAGAAAATACCTCTTTCCAATTTTCATGAATTGCACTCTTGGTAGAACTGTAGGTTCAAATCATTATACTAACTATCGCTATCTCAAAGGAAATATTACCTTATCTCACAATTACTATACTCTTCATTTATACTCTGGACTAATTGGATCTTACTTAAAAACAAACGAACCTCTTACCTGGTTTCATACTTCATTAATTCCAGCATCTGAATGGCTCAACCATCAAAATCTTCTCATTCATGAATATACATCAAATATAACTATCACCCGTCCCTCACCAACTACTCCTGTTCCTATTCTGTTACCTTTAGCCTGATATTTGAACCTTACTTCTACTCATTTGCCTAATATCTATCGTAGTTTATACCAAATTCTTCACCTTACCCTCCTGACTTAGTTATCCCTAATAACTCTTTCCCTCAAGAAATTCACAATGAAGATGCTCATTACTCACCTTTAATAGCAAGAGCAATTGTTAGTACTAACAAACCATTACCATTTAACGATCCAAACCTAGAAGCTTTAATGTTTCCAGATCTTTTTCTCAACGGTCAAGGCCATTATGAACATATAAAAAATCTTTTACATTTTCAACCATCGATTGATAGTTATAGAAAATATATAAAATTGTGTTTACTTTGCCCTGATTCTCGCTTTAGACTTCACTGGTACTGGCCTCATTGGTCATACTTAAATTTAGAAAAAAAAAGAAATTTTCAAAATCACCAACGTATATTATCAACCAGAAACGTTAATTGAGAATTTCACCCAACTACTGCAGATTTAATTGCTAAAAGCTCTTATACCACTCAAAACATTTTAGATGAATCCAAATCGACCACGATACCTTCAAGTCTTCGAACTGCCGCCCCTTTTTTCCTAAAAAAACAATATCAAGTTAATACTATGTTAAATTCATATGGTTTACTACAAATTTTTTATACTATGACCATGGCGGAAGATAAATGGCCTCACTTACATGAAATACTAAGACAAACTGATAATGGAAATATACTACCCACTAATCGACCCCTACACACCTACTTATTTTATCGTAACTACCTTACTAACACCCGTAATAAACTTTGGAAAAATCCGTTCCTCTCTAGGTGGTAAATGGGAGCATTTTTTTGAACGCGATGAATTTCAAAATCGCGGAACAATACATACTCACAGATTCACGTATACCGAAAAAAAATTCCAGAATTAATTTCCTTAAATACCATTAGAGCCGACCTTCCTGATCCTACACTTGAACCCGAATTACACAATTTAGTATTAACTTTTCAAATACATCACTGTGATCATAGATGTGGGGGTCAAAATTCTAATACAAGTCAATGTTCTAAAGGCTTCCTCCAACCTTTATCAGAAACTACTTACTTTTCACAAAATTCTCTATGATTAATCTATCATCGAACTAAAAATGAAGACAGGATGGTAGTTTCTTACCATCCGGAAACACTATTAATATGGCACGGCCATATAAATTTTCAATATGTTACTTCCACTAGCTTCGCTAAATACATAACTAAATATGTTACTAAACCTGAGCCCTCTGAATTATTCAACATAGATGAAACTAATGATTACAGAAAACATGTACTTGCATGACGATTAGGCGCCATGGAATTAATGATACTTTTATTATAGTACCCTTTAACCAGATGTTCTGTTTCTGTACATTACCTTCCCTCCACCCCTTCTAATTTACGTTTACGTTCCATTAAACCAATCTACCTTCTAAATCTCGCTGAAAATGACGATGATAATGATGAAACACCGTACTGAGATGATGCTATCGATAAATATTTTGATCGTCCCAATCATGACCTATTTCAAGAAATAACTTATCCCAGTTATTTTCAAAATTATACAATTAAACCCAAACCACCAGGTCAAAATTCAAAGTTATTCCATACAAGAGATCGAAAAAACAGAATAATATGTCAAAGAAAAACTCCAGTTCTCATACGATTCACTAACTATAAAATAGACAACAGCGAACCTTTCTTTTTCCAACATCTCATTATGAAAATTTCTTTTAGGTCTGAACTAGAATTACTAGCAGGTTATACTTCTTATAAAGAGCGATTTCAATCCATCTTTCCTAATAGATTCGCTCATGAAATCGATTCTGCTCGTCAAAGTCACCTATTACAAAAAAAACAATTTATCAAATGCTTATAACTCATTAATAAGATCTCTTAATGTGTGTTTCATTTAAAGAGTAATTAACTAAAAGTAAAATGTTTTTGTTAAATTTTTGTTCTCTTAGATGGTTTAAGAAAGATTTAAGTGTTTGATTTAAAGGTAAGAGTAGTAGATTGAAGTATAAGAGAAATTTGTTATAGCAGGTGGAAGAGTTACAGGATTTTAAAGATGTTGAAAGTAATTCTAATTTGGTTTCTTCTACAGGGTTGCTCGCCATTTTAAGCTCGGTTCTCACAGCTGTGCAGGATTCTATGGTTTGCTCTGTACGTTGAGTCTGACTGTTATATAAATGGTCCTCCGCGTAAATGAGCTTTACCGCCCGCCCACTTACATCATTCCCTTCATTAAATACAACGGTTGTATCAATTAATGAAGTAGCTGCTGCATTAATGGAGTTTGTAGAAGAAACGTTTAATAAAAAGAATTAAATGAGTGAGATTGAGGAGTATTGGATAGGAGTGTTTCAGCATAGGACTTGTGAGTATTGGGAGGTTTGTTGAGAGTAGTATTTAAGTCATTATCTATAACCATATTGTCATCAGGATTAGAAGTTTGGTCATCATCTGGTGTATTAGTATTAGAAGGAGATGTCTCAGGTGTTTTTAAAAGGTAGGAGTCATCAAGATTTTTGATGAGAGTAAATTGAATTTTGAATTTTTCTAGTAAAATCTTTTCTGCTTGTGG